GAAACAGAAACAGCCAAAAAGAATGGAACAGAAATGTACAAATATACATTTAAACACACACACAGATAGAGAGACATAACATAAGCATACCAGCAAATTACAATAACAGCAACAACAACGATCACAAAAACATTTTCCACAATTGCACGTGTCCATTCTTGACTGGTACTATGCGAAAATATTAAAAGGCATATTTGTCGCTTGGTCAGCAACAAGACAATAGACGAAACAAGGGGCACAGTAAAAGCGACAAACAGCAGCAAATGAGACAAACGGAAGATGCTCGTTGCACGTAATTTATGGCCGAAGCCAATGTTAGGTTAGGTTACATTCAACCTGAGAGCCGCACGCACATTTGCAATGGGGTGAGCTGTCTGCTTATGCGTGTGGGAGTATGTGTGTTAAGGGGCGCCGACACTGCAAATTAATTGTGGACGGTTGCTGTTGCTGGTTGTGGGGCTTAAGCGCTCATTTATCACCTGCTTGGTCAAAGTTCGAAGGATGTCACCAACTTCTTACATACGCTTCAATTAGCTACTTGTACTTACCTTTCGTTTGACTCCCGCTGGCTCTTATAAATTTTCATTTTGTACATATACATATATTCAGACATTCAAATTCCTTTCGTTCCTAATTTCACAATTTTTCTCAACCGAAGAAATGTTTCAAATATTCGCCGCACACAAAGACAATACAAAAGTGTGGCCCATCAACAGTGCCAACTATTGCCACCGTGTTCTAATTGCTTCACAGTGCTGCCAGATAAATGCTGTAAGCTTAAGGTCCGGCTTCCTTATTTGCCGCCAAATTCAAATTCAAATTTAATTGCATAATTTATATTTATTGCTCATATAAACAGCCTTAGGGATTCCCACCACCCGGATGAGTATTAAAAGAGATGACCACCAACCATTTATTTAGTTTTCAATGGAAACGGTGGCACCCAGCCGCCAAATGCACGCTCCAGCTCCTCGGCGACAGCCAAACAGAGGCGATCGTTATTGTGATTGGATACCACCTGAATGCCCAATGGCATGCCTTTGCTATCCAGTCCCATGGGCACTTGTGTCGCCGGCAGTCCTAACACATTGAACAGACTAAAGTAGCTAAAGTCCAGAAATTTGAACAATGGATAGTAATGGAATGGAGCTGTACGTGGAGAACTGTGGAAGATTAGCACGCCATTTTCTCCCAGCAGCTCTTGTAGCGCTGCCTTGCACTTTTTGGTGGCCGAGCGTATGAGCTTCTCGTTCTCCTTGGGCAGCAGGCTGTCGATCAACGAGTAAATGGCCGCCATGCTGAACTCGCTCTGGCCCAACAGCTTTTTGAACAGCTCCACAAACGGATTCAGCTGGACGCCGTTACCCAGGAGCTGATTGAAGCTGGCCGGTTCCTGGGTCATCCAATAGCGCCACATTTTGCCTGCCAACTTCGTTTCCGGCAGCTTGGCTAGATGCACATCCTGACCAGTCAACTGCTCCAGGTGTTTACGCACATTATACATGACGCGCTCCGTCTCTCGGTTGATGGGATTACACTGACGCATGCCCAGACTTGGCACATAGAAGTAACGCAATTTCTTCACATCCACCTCTTTATCCAGCTGCAGTGCGCTCTGCAGTGATGGCTCCACGAGTACCTTCATAATGGGTCGCAAATCAGTGGCGAAACGTGTCATGGGACCGGCACAGACCATTGTATTCTGCTCCTTCCCGGTGCGAAAGGTGCAGCCAGCCATGTTGATGGCGCCCGAAGTGGGCTTGTGGCCAAAGATGCCACAATTAAAGGCAGGAATGCGTATGGAGCCACCGATATCGGTGCCTAGTCCAAAGCCTGTGCAACAGGCCGAGATCAGAGCGCCTTCACCACCAGAGGAGCCACCCACGGAACGCCTCAAATCGTATGGATTATTGGTGCCACCAATGAGCATATTACGTGACTCAATCCATTTATTCACTTCCGGTACATTGGACGTGGCAATGATGATTGCGCCACTTTTCTTCATCAGACGCACGCACTCCGCATCCTCCTTAGATCGCATATCCTTACGCGCCACCAGGCCCAATGTAAGCCGCTTACCTGCCACCGATGTGCTGTCCTTGGTGGTAAATGGCACGCCCAGAAAGGGCAGCGACAGCAACTCCTCATCGCTATACTGACCCGACGCCAGACGTTCATCGATAGCGCGTGCCTCCTCTAGCGCCTCGGTCTCGAACGGCCCATCAACAACGGCGTTCAACTCACGATTTACGATATTGATGCGTTCGCAATAAGCTTTGACGATGTCGTAACTTTTCAATTTACCAGTGCGTATCGCTGTTGCCAACTCGACGGCGCTCTTAGTCAATATGACCTGTTGATCAACTGTTGCAAATGTTGCGACACGCTTGTGAGGCCCCAAATACCAGCCCAGTGCAAATTCCAAGATTCTATCGGTTATGATGTGAATCAGCGTTATCAACGCGTCCAGTAATGCGGGCCAACATGCCATCTTCAATTTTTAACTTGTTATCTTTCTATTTAACTTTTTGCTTGATCAGCGGCGACTTTTAGGTGACCTGATATCCAATTAGATATGTAATGAAATGTTTTAGCTGCTGGTGTTGCCACCTCCACGGAAATCTAAAGAGCACTGCAGAAACTTGTTTGGAAAGCTGTGATTTTAAATGGAAAACAGCCGTTGGACGTAGGAGTCTACAAAAGTACGATTGCATATGATAGATAAGCATTGTAGCGATCGGCTATCACGAAAACGAGGCGTTATCAGTAATTTGATTTTAGACGCATATTTTATTTTTTATCTATAATCGCAAAACACGGCAGCTTTAAAATGAACAGATAATTTACAATTGACCAAGCGGTGTGCGACCAACGTTGCCACCTCCAATAATGCTTAAAAGCACAGCCAAGCCCAGCATGAAAAGCTGCGTTTTTAAATGGCGTAACAGACGTTAAGTTTTGGGGGTCTGCAACGTAATATATTTTAAATTGTATTTGTAATAAATAATTAGGCAGCATATTCCGTTGAGCGGACAACAAAATTAATGTAAATGTAATCCTAATTGTCAATAATATTAAATAACTAACTAAATTGTATTAAGATAATTATTTGCAATATCATAACATTTGGCACTTCGCTGCATGTCATGCATATCGATAGGCTGTGTCATGCGTGAAAACGTTCCAACGTGAAACACACCACCAGCAACACAGCAACAAAAATAAATATCGACCCGGTGCTGTCGTTGTGGTTGTCGCCGCAAATGTCTAGTGGTAGTTGCTTTACCGTCGCGCTGTCAAAGCGTCGCCGATTCGCCGTCAGTACCTGTGTCGAATTTGCATTGTATGTTAAAACAAAACCAATTTCCAAAATAGAAAGTCAACTCATTTTAATGCAAAATCGCTTAAAATAAAGGCTTCAAACTGTGCAAAACTACATTAAAGCAAAACATCGGCTGTGACAACTTCTCAGATTATTTGTTATTTGCTCTTGGGTGTGTGCATGTGATTGCATGTATGCGTTTAGCTGAGAAACGCAGCAACTGTTTAAATTGCATATTAGGTTCATTTATTATTCAAGAAACTGCACGTATAGTGTACTTGTCTAGCTTAATCTTAGAAATCATTTAACTCGCAGCGTGCTGTGTATGATTAACTACAATTCGTTTGCTCAGCGTGTGTTTGCCCCTTTTTGTTTACTTGACACATACGAAAGTAGAAAAGACTATACAAAATACAAAAAATAAAAAACCAATTGTCTTAAATTTTCCGTTTGTGTTTCGTAAGGCATTTGGTAAACAAACTATCCCGAGTTTGTATTCCTAATTTCTAATTGCAATCCACTGCAGCGTGCAAACTGGTACGCAGTTAATGTTGCAAATACGTATTAAATATTAATTGTGTTTATGTTCGGTAATAAATAATAAATATTTATTATTTCCTTGTGTTCCGTGTTTAGTTGTAGTAAGTGTTTTCTTTCATCGATTTATATTGAATTTGCCAATAACGCCATATGTATAATATAATCCTCCTTATTGGTTTGCTGGTACCACAGCTCACCATATGTGAAAGTGGATATATGTATAAGCATTCAAGTTCAAATTGTCAACTCTTATCAATTCCAATATGTGTTATATAAGAATTTTGGTTTTTAAAATCGAGTGAGGATTTAAATAGGGAAGTTTTTATTTTCGTTTTTTATCATACATGGTGGAAAATTTGACTTAATTCCTTTAATCTGTACTAATTATACAAACACAATATTGTTTAATCATAAACAAGTAATCCATTATTAAGAGTACTACTTTTTGCATGTAAATGGAAAAAGTCATAGAAGTCACTAATACAATGTTTTGTGAATAGTTAATTAAAATAACATAAAAGAATAATTAAAATAACATAAAGAGTAAAGTTAAAGATTTTCTACTTAGATATTAATACACATCATGTGATCATAACAAAAATCAATTACGGTAATTGGGAAAAAATTTAAAGGAAACTACAGCATGAAAAATGAACTTAAATCATGTCAATATGGATATATGTATTGAGTTTTGGCTTGTTTTTTTTTTTTTTTTTTGTCAAGAAAAACATATGAGCTGCGTACCTGCCTACTATATACTCGAACATTGTTTATCACATTGAGGCATACAGTCCTAGACGTCTTAGCACTGATAACAAATACCTTAATCAGTATTATAGCTGTCTCAGTCGCACGTGATAGTCTATTATGTTCTTAGTAGAAAGTTGATGATGCATAACGCACATACTCGATTGCCACCTGATTGCCCAAAAGCCGGCGTGGAAAAGCCTATCTAGACTCGTACCTAGCCGATAAGAATGAGTAGTAAAGCGAGGGCGTGTGCCAGCTGTGTGCAATCAATCGCTAGGCAAGCTATACCCACGTTAAACACAGTGGATCCACTTGATATTATATATGTATATACACACACATACATATACATTCATATATTTATATATCTACATTAAACGTTTTACAGTTAAAAGTCAAGCGTACCATGGAAATGAAGTCAACCGCCAGCCAGGTAAACAGAGCAACGGTCTCGTCTAGCGATGACTCATCCCCATCGGCATCGGCTGAGGCGACAGCCGCTGCATATATGCGGCAATTTGAGAATATTATAGAACCGGGCAAAGAGGCATCTATGACCCGAGAGTTCAAGCCCCAAGTGGCCTATGAATTTGAACGCTATTTAAATCCCCAGAAGCTCAAACAGCATGTGCTACGCAGCGAGAAGCTGCGCTCACTGCTGGAACACTACGCGCAACAGACAGGGCAGCCGATCAAACAGCTGGAGCAGCAGGCGCGTGCGATTATAGATGAGATCGGTCTGGATCGAAACATGGCCATAATACGCTGGTGCGGCATTGCGATTACAGCCATTGGTAAGCGCATCTGTGATGGTTTCTATGTCAATTCGACCAGCATGGCCAATGTGCGTAAGGAAATGGGCCACTGTCCGGTGCTGTATTTGCCCAGCCATCGCAGCTATATGGACTTCATACTGATGAGCTACATATGCTATTACTATGACATCGAAATACCAGGCATAGCAGCCGGCATGGGTGAGCTCAAATTGCATACTCATTCAATACTTGTCCTTAATCTACTTCTTTATGTTCCATAGATTTTCACTCAATGTTCGGGATGGGCACCATGTTACGCAAGACGGGCGCCTTCTTCATGCGTCGCAGCTTCTCAAACGATGAGCTTTACTGGGACATCTTTCGCGAGTATATGTACGCTCTGGTCGCCAGATACCACATTGGCGTAGAGTTCTTCATAGAGGGCACGCGATCTCGAAATTTTAAGGCCCTGGTGCCCAAGGTGGGTCTGTTGTCGATGGCCTTGTTGCCCTATTTTACGGGCGAGGTGCCGGACGTAATGATAGTGCCCGTCAGCGTGGCCTACGAGCGTGTGCTGGAGGAGCAGCTGTTTGTCTATGAGCTGCTGGGCGTGCCCAAGCCCAAAGAGTCCACGAAGGGCTTCTTCAAGGCTCTGAAAATCATCGACGAACGATTTGGCAAAATGTTTCTCGACTTCGGTGCGCCAATTTCAGTGCGTCAATTCTTTGGCCATGACAGCACGCAGCGCATGCAACGCGCCGGATTGGGCGGATCACTGCAAAAGCTCAATCGGCAGGAGATCGAGCTAGTAAAACAGCTGGCGAACGAGATTATCTACCAGCAGCAGCGACGCATTGTCATCACCACATTTAATTTACTAACTCTGTATTATGCCAGCAAGCTGTATGGACAGTGCAGCGTCAATGTGGATGAGCTGTCCCGTGGCATTTTACATTTGAAGCGGATTTTCGAGAAGCTCGGCGCCCATGTCAGCACTAGCTCGAATAGCATCAAGGCGGACGTTATCGATGCCATCGAAATTCATAGCAATATTCTGCAATTTCGTGTAGGCAAACTTCAATTCACTCCGCTGGCTGCAGAACAGCTGGCGGCACAGATCGATATGCGACGGCTGAAGGCGCACGCCTTGTGTCCACAAACGATGGCAGTGGCTGTGCCGATGCTGGCACTACAGCTCTACATAAATCCGTGCATGTTTTGGTTAGCACGGCCCGCCTATCTGCTGCTTGCCGCCCTCAAGGAGCAGGGCCGTCAACAGCAGCTGGACAACTCGAGCTCGTACCAGGAAACGTTGGCTGCCCTGCACAACCATGTGAGCAGCATGGATGCACTGTTCCAGCATGAGTTCATCATCGAATCGAATCGCGAGGCGGCCGAGTTTGAGACGCATTTGCGTCTGCTGATCGAGGAGCGTGCCCTGCAGCTGAATGAGCACACGGGCAAGGTTACTGTGCAGGATAACGAGTGTACCAGAGTCATACTGGCTGCACTGGCTCCATTTCTCTGCCTCTACTACCAGCTAGCGGTCACGCTACGCCAGGTGAGTGTCATGTAATAGACAAGTTGTTTCAACTATTATCTTCCGTTCTTTAAAGATGTCAGGCGAATTCAACTCCAAAGATCTGTTGGTGCGGGTGCAAAAGCACGTGGAGCAGCTGTTGCAGCAGCCAGGCGGCACCGCCTCGCACGTGCATCCCTATTGTCTGGCCCTGGATAATTTAAACATCGCTATCTATGCACTGATACAGTCCGGATATCTGCATAAATCTCGGGAGACGGGCCTGATGAGCATCGCTGCGGCAACACCGATGAAGTGCCTCAGGCAACTAGAGCTGCAGCTGCTGGAGTATTGCCAGCTAATGCCATTTACCCAATACTCGATGGCTGCCAACCAGCAGGCGCAGTCGCATATGGCCAAATTATAACTGACAAATGGCAAGCGGTTGGCGCCTGCCAGCTCTCCGCTGCCTACAACAATGTCCTCGACCCAGGGTGATCATAGTACAATATCACTATTCTTTCAATGCATTGTCAGCCTGCTCAAGAATTGTCGCATCATTTGCATACTATTTGTTATTGTATTCGTCGCTCCCATTTGGCAATTATTACTGTGGCTATTGGCGACCCTCTGCTCAGCCGCGTAGTCTGTGTACGCCCGCGGTTATGTATGTATGTGCTGATTGAGAGTGCGACTGTGTGCATGTGTAAAATATATATGGGTATATGGCGTTTGTGTATACGAAGGTAGTTTGTTTTAGTGCTTAAGCATTTAATTAAAATTTAATATTTCTTAATTTTAATTTATTGCCATAGAAAACAAAAACTCCCTGTTGTTTACATTGTTGAAGGAATTCATGATTTCTAATAATAATTCATAAACCTAGAGATCCCAACGACAACCAGCATATATGTTTACACGGAGATCCAGTCAAAGGTCACTTTCTCTTTATTAGTACAACTATTTAACTAATTTGGTACACTTCTTAACATTCCTGGTACATCAATGTAAATGAATTTATTTCACTTTAATGTAATGTTATATAATTTGTACAGATTATAGTTTTTTTACGTGTAGTAGGTATATAGCCGGGTTTTCTATTTTAAGAAAACTAATGTTTAAGTAATGCACAATTATGTCAATTTTTTCGTTTGCCTAACAACCAAATAGCAAGTCATTTAAGCTAAGTTTTAAATTGATAGCTTAAGTTTGTTTACTATTTTAGGGAAAGCACAAACTTATTTAACATGTTATTTAATGCGGCTAACAGCACTACAACTTAGTTATACTCGTAGCACGACATAGCTATGCTAATGTTTGCTTTAGTCCCAATATAACATAAGCATAAAGCATTTGAAAATATACTCTTAACGCTGCTTCAATAGGTTAATGATGGCTGCCGCACGTTTAACAGTTGGTTATATAGTTTTGATAAGACTTTTTGACATGCCTAACATATACAAGATTTTATTCATTACCTATTATCAAACGTATATAGTTTGTAATTGTGTCAGTTATTTATTGTAGGAAAGGGTTTTTGTAACTTGCCATGGCATTACGTTTCATGTTTTTAGAATATTTAATTCCCAAAGGTATTTTGTGTTATGAAGTATAAAGTGCCAATTGAAATGCACTTGCAATATTAATAATCAAATGAATTATAGTATATAGAATCTGTATAGCAGGTATATGTATGTACATATAGTTTGATATATTCTCAATATTTTTGTAACGCATAGGGATGTCTTGAGAACAAAATACACAATACAAGAAATAAACAAAACTAATGTGAGCTACCGAAGCACAAACAGAAGTCTAGCAACAAAAAGTGCAATATTTTGTCTTTTGTTTAAACATTTTTTAAAAACAATATATTTTTGTGGTATAAGTGTTTTGTAGCTAATTTTATATACATACGTATACTATAGAAACCTAACACCAATACACTAATTTATACACTACATCAATAGCAAAAAATAAAATATATTAAATTGGTGCGAGTTGCGCCCTTTGCATTATTTTAACAAACAAATAAAGTTAAACAAACTAAAATTAAATGTATATATATATATATATATTCAAAGCAGAGGGGCAAGAGAGGAAACAAAGTTTTTAGTTAGCAAAATTCGCGCATGAACTGGTCCAAGGTGCATTGGCTAATGACAACCCGCATGAGAATCTTCTCCGCATTCTGTTCATCCGCTTTGGTATCCACAACGGCCGCATTTTTATAGAGCCAAGCCATCTCCGGTCCTCCACTGGGCACGCGCACCTGCAATTTACGACGCCCGGTCACATCCAAAATTTGCTGCTCCACATCCTTGAGCAGCGTCTGCAGTCCGGCGTGAGTACGTGCCGAGGTTAAGTGACACATGCCCGTATCCGTTTGCTCAGCCAGTACAGATACTTGAGCTTTCGGTTTAAGCAAATCGCATTTGTTAAAAACATTAATTATTGGGGGCAATTCGCCGACGTTTGAATTTCCCTGGGAGACGCTGAAAGCCAGAGAACGCAGCGTAGCCTCCACATGGGCGCGCTGAGCCGCGTGACAGGGATGTGACAGATCCTGCACATGTATGATGATATCCTAAAAGCCAAATGTATCAATAACTGGACATATAAATAATGTATAAAAATCATGTAGCTACCGCAAGCATTGCATCCTCTAAGGTGGCCACGAAACACTCAAACAATCCAGTCGGCAAATCGGACATAAAGCCCACAGTGTCCATATATATGATCTGCAGATTGCAGGGCAAGTAGCCAGCATGCGCCGTCACATCCAGTGTGGCAAACAGCTGATTACGCGGCTGCATTGTGTCCTCCATTGTGAGCGCTTTTATCAGCGACGTCTTTCCTGCATTTGTATAGCCAACAACGGCTGCAGTTGGACAGTTTAACTGTTTGCGCTTCTTGCGCAGCAAGCGTCGCTGCCGACGAACATCATCCAATTCTGCTCGCAATTTGCGCTCCCTGGTGCGCAGTATTTCCTTTTGCTGATCAGTTAGAGAGTAGCCTTGTCGTCGGGTCTGTGTGACACTGGCATCCTTTGCCTGCGACCATATGTAAGGCAACTCTGCCATAGCCACCTGTAGGCGGGCCTCTGCACTGGTCGCATGCAGACGTAGTATCTGTATGACCACCGAGTAACGATCCAGCACAGGCAGTTTAAACTCGTCCTCCAGGAATTGCCTTTGGGCAAACGAGAGCGTGCCCTTACTCACAAAGACACTGTTAACCTGCCGCTCGTTTCGCAGTTGTGCAAGCAGCTCCTTTATCTCGGCTATTTTGCCACTACCAAAGAGTGTTTTACGCTCCAGACTTTCCAGAGGCACTTTTAAGGATCGAGCAACTTTCCAGTTGGGCAACGAGTGGATCAGCGCTGTCGCCTCAGCTAGTTGATCATCAGGCGTCACATCGACGGGTGTGGTGCGCTTGGCGGACCACTTGACATAGGGCTGCAGGATGAAAACGTGCTGAGCTGTGGCCACATCACGGTTGATGCGCATAGCTCCCCCGGCGACTTCCTCATATGCCCTGTAAGAACAGATGGGATTTATTATATGGGATTAGGTCATATGATTCACTCTGACCCACCGATCGTCCAAGAAGCGCATGTCTCCTGCATTTACGGTCGCCAATTCATTTTGCTCGTGCAGCCCCGGCTGCACTGGAGCCTCGTAGAAGCTTTTACGATTACGAATTCCCTTGACCCCTTGATGTTGCGTGTATCGAAAACGTGTTGATATCCGTGTTATTGCTGGACGCAGTTGGGTCCCGCGTAGCAGCACTTGCAGACAATTCATGACTTAAACTATACTATTATAAATTTTGGTTGATTACTAGTTAGTAGTTTTCCTCGTTGAGCACCGAGTGTTTGTCCTCGATGGCCATCCAAGCAGCTTGACAGGATTTGGTGCGTGTCGTAGTCGTTTGATATGCCACGCCTGTTGCTACCAATGAGGAAATTAATATGTTGTACTTAGATGGATAGTGTATTTTCCTCTGAACTGTCTTTTGAATAAAATATGTGCCTGCAAATCCTAGAAAAATAATAAATATTATGCAATTGTTTTGACAACACATGAAATGGCTACCCAAACAAAACGATGCCAAGCCCGTAAAGAGAGCTCGGGTCATGCAATCCAAATAGCCGTCGAAGCCTGGGTGTTTATCACGTTGCTGTTCCTTCAACCGCTTAATATCGTTCATAATAATTATTTATTTACGCACCAATTAGAGCTCAAGATGATCAAACAAACCACCGGCTGAATTTCCTTGTGTTATGTTTCATTTTCGATGGGTAGCACTGCTTACGCGATCTGGTAACGACACAGTCTGCATGTAAGCAGCGCACGCCATGTCTTCGGAATAAGGACTAATAATAATTATGCACAGAGTTAATTTAAAAAATACGCGCTTTGGCTATGTATTATATTATAAAACGTTTTATTGATGTCGCGTTTATATTATATTTTGCATGTCATGCAAAGTCACGCACACAGTTAAATAGTTCAACAATGTTTATAAATGGCAGCACTTTCTAATATTATTGTCAACCAATCTGGCAACGACATTACGTTTAGTTGTTGTTCGTGAGTTTTTCTGAAGATATTTTGCTGCAAAATGGACGTGGAGAAGATTTGTCGCACTTGCCTAAGTCTCTCGGGTCCATTTCTGTCCATCTATGATGGTGGTAATGGCAGTTGCCTAGTGGACATGCTGCGCGAATTCACCCGCACGAAGGTATGTCGAGATTAATAGTAGACGTCTCAAACTCATGTTTCTTGTGTTGATAGCCGCGACGCGAAGATAATTTGCCAGGCAGGGTTTGCCTTAGCTGCATCAGCGAAATAAACCATTGTTACTCGTTTAAACTAAAATGTGAGAGCTCCAATCGTACGCTGCGACAGCTGCTGCCCAATGCGCTGCCCGAGGAGTCGGACCAACTGCTTCCATCCGCAGCTAAGATTCCAGTCTCCACATCCGACAGCTCGGCTCAAACGGATGCTGTTGCAACAGTCAGCAGTGAGGCGCAAACGTATGAGGTAGAAAAAGCAGATGCGGAGCAAAACACATCAACTGAGGAACAGTCAAAGGAACACGCAACGGCTGTAATAGAAGAAGATGAGGAACAGGAAGGTCAGGAGGAGGAAGAATATGATTACGAATTTACTGAAGAGCAAGAAACAGAAGAGACACCGTCCAAGGCCAATGCCGAAAATATAATACTGCATGTGGAGAAAGACAATATCAAGTTCGAGACGGAAATGGTGTACAATAAGAATACGGGCGAGCTAGTTGAACAGCCTGCGGAGACTAATTCCAAGCAGAAGGAATACAAGTATCGGCTTGTCAGCAATGGTACTGGTGATACATATATCTCACGAGAGCCAGTGTCGAAAGAGAAACAATCGAAACAGCAGGACTCACAGTCAACGTCCAAGCGCAATCAGACTGAAGAGCAGATGGATGCAAAGAAATCAAAGCTAACACCTGCCGCCGACATGGATGAGCTCAAGACGAAGTTCCACTGTGATCGTTGCAATGCGGGCTTTGCATTGGAGAAATCCTTGATCATACATAGAAGGCAGAACAGCTGCACCCATCGAAACTTCAAGTGCAATGAATGCGAGCGAGTGTTTGTCTCGCTCGATCATCTCTCCGAGCATCAGGCCACACATGGAGCCTTCATATGCCAGGAGTGCGGTCTTCGCTGTGAGTCTATGGAGCAGTTGGGTAGGCACATGGTACAGACGCACAAGCGGAATCTGCGCAATCAATGCAACGTTTGCCAGAAGGGTAAGTGGCCCAAATAAAATGAGGAAACTTTGAAAACTGCCAATTGATACTCCACTCTCAACATTTTCTCCTTTTCTTTTGCAGTGTTCACTATGCTGTCTACTTTACGGGATCACATGCGCATCCACACCGGCGAGAAACCATTTGTTTGCAATGTCTGTGGAAAAGGCTTCACACAGAACGCGAATCTACGCCAGCACAAGATGAGACACTCGGACATTAAGCGCTTCAAATGTACGCTATGCGATCATTCGTTTGTGACCAAAGCGGAGCTAACTTCTCATGGGCGCACCCACACGGGCGTCAAGCCGTACCAGTGCGAAGTCTGTTCCTCCCGATTTACGACCAGCTGTTCCCTGGCTAAGCACAAGCGCAAGCACACTGGCGAAAGACCGTATGCCTGTGATCTGTGTCCGATGCGCTTTACTGCGCTTAATGTACTCAAGAATCATCGACGTACGCACACGGGTGAACGTCCCTACGTTTGCCCCTTCTGCTCGAAAAGCTTTACGCAACGCGGCGACTGCCAGATGCATCAGCGAACGCATCAGGGCGATAAAATCTACATTTGTCCGGTGTGCAGCGAGGAGTTCAAAACGATGAACGATATGCGCACGCATTTGACAATGCATGAACAGGATGATAAGCGTCTGGTCCACTTCACCCTGCTGAGCAATAAGGAGAACGGGAATACGGCGACTCTGGAAGAGGCTGACGAAGATGAGTCGGATGCAACCGATTTACTGTAGACTAGTTATCCCCGTAAGGGATTTATGAATAAGCTGGGGGTTTTTTATAGGCTAGACTAGACCTGGTGAACATGAACATTAGGCTGAAAATTTAGAAAGAGGAGGCTTTACGGGCCCAGTCGTCAGATTGAGGTGTCGATTGTAAATATCGATAATTTACTCAAAGGGTATGTAATGCATAAGTTTAATAAATATTGTCTTACTATTGATACATAGTAGGCGAAAATAAAAAAGACAATTTTAAAGTGAAAGTTGACTGATCGGTAATCAGTTAAAATATGGTAGGAATTTACCAATTACTGTATGGTGGATAATTCGATTGTTTTCCAGCTCTATTACAAATAACGTTTTTGTAGCATTTCTTAGTCTTTAATATTTAGCTTACAATAGTAGTTATTAAAATGCTTATGATTCGATATATGCACTTGGTCGTCTAATAGAATTGTCCGAACTGCGCCGCCGGCTGCTGCGGTTGTTGAAGCGCTGATGTAGACGTCTCCGTCGTGGGTACAGTGACGGCAGGATTAAGTGATGAGTTGCTGGTGACAGGCGGATTACCTTGAAACCAATTGATCAGCTCGTGGTGCGCACTCTGAACGCATTTGCGCTGATCAGCAATCAGGTTTTCTGAGTATTTCACATGGTTGGCATATGCCTCCTTCTCGTGCTGCGCATCCTTGGACATGCGGTGCAGATCCTTCAGTATCGCCGAGCCCCATAGTTGCACATGGATATCAGGTATTTTACTTGCCAATTGCATGGCTGGTGTCACCATATTCATGCTCTCCTTGGAGTTGCCTATGCTAAGGAAGACATGTGAAAGCAGCACCAGGGAGCAACTCGTCAGACGATTTAAGTCCTCTGCATTGGCCATTTTTAACGTTTCACGCAGGAATCGTCTGTACAAATATTTACCGATTGTATATGAACTGTCAAAATTTGGTAATTTTCTGCTACTACTTACTTTGCCTCGTGAAAGCTATTTTTGTGGAAAGCGTGCAATCCCTGTACATAGTAAAATCCGCCCATTAGGGCTTGGCTGCTATAAGTGTGCGTGTTTTCCGTGGATACGGCATCAAGTATTTGTTTGAGGTCAGCTTCCCGTTTTGTGCGCAGATAAATGATGGCCAGATTTAGATTGGCGAAGAGCTTAAGGTCCCGTTCGGTCGTCTCATTCACGCACACCAGAAATTGTCGTTCTGCGTGCTCAAAGAAACTCGTCGACATGGAATACAAACCAATAAGGCAGTGGAGCTGCGCCGAATGTCGCTTGAGCAGGTTACGATGCGGCACAGCGAGGCATACATCACGTGCAGCGGCTATCTCACGTATAGCTAGCTCCCGGTTGCCCATGACCATGCGACACATCACGATGTGCTCCAACAGGATAACCTTAAACACGGATAATATGGATTTGTCCTCCTGCTGTTTCAGTTTTTCGATTTGTGTTAGTGCCTTTTCCGTGTACTTTTGCGCTTTATCCATGTAACCTGCCATCATCGAATGAGAAACAGTAACCAGATAGACAAGTACATAAAGCTGCTCCTTGGGCAGCCATACAAACATCTCCAGCTGATTGCCACCAAAGATCGTCTCGTCACTTGGCCAATTGGGTGCCATAATCGTTTGTATAGACATTTGAAGTTGCTTTAAACTGGGCTTCACTGTCTTCACCTGGCCCAGGGCCAGATAGTAACACACTTGCAGCACTAGGAAGAACACTTTCAGATACTCCTTTTGATGTGGATTAGGTATATTATTATCAATGATTTGACCCGCTGAATTGAGCAGTGCCAGCACATCATTCGTTTTCCGTTCAATCATTAAGATCATGGCCCGTGAAAGCAAAAACAGTACCTTAAGGTATGTGGCACCTGCTTCCTCCGCCGATTCGGCGCCCACAGCCAATAAATCACTGGCCAGCGAATATTCACGATCACTCGCATGTATCTGAGACAGTTGCAGTAGCAGCTTACAATGCCAATAGACATTGTTTTGTGATAATTCGACGGCTCGTCGGAGCATCGCCTTGGCATGTGAGCTCTGTTCGGTTTTAAGATGCAGCTGGGCGAGCAGTGAGGCAGTATCGAATTTGACATCATCAAAATTCATAAGAGGCTCCGCGATACTCCATGCCTGTTCCAAGTGTCGACGCGCCAAATCTATGTTACATGTGTAAGCCATAAGAACTTGTCCCATTTGCAGGTGTGTACGCGCCTCCACCTAAATAGGAGAAGTGTAATTCCGTTGATTTA